TGGCTGGAAATTGGATGGGGAGATGGAACTTAGAGGAGGCCTATTGCTCAAAAGTGGCTATTGATGACCATTATGTGGTAATGTGGCAAGTGACCATTATGATGTCATGATGATCAGTCCGAGAATTAAAGTTTGGATCACCCTGTACGTCAACGCACATTATCAATGACACAATCGATCGGTTCAATTTAATAACAAACCGTGATCGTGGGCAGACGTGTTTATTTATTTTTTCTTCGTTCCGTAGAGTCGTGGGCTCGATTTAAAAATTCTCGGCTGCCGAATATGGCGAGCGCCGCGCCGGCCAAGCCATGGTGGATAATAAAGTCGAGAACCGGCCGAGCCTTTTGCAATTTTTCTGGCCGGACGCAACTGAAAAGCGGTTTTCGGTTGGGAAACACGGTCAGTCTTTCTTAATTCCACGAAAATTAGAGCTATTCTACGTGGTACGTTTCGCAAATTGCGATAATTGGATTCAAGAACAAATCTGAAAGAATAACGTATGGCAGAAAAGTACAAAAGATTCATTTTGGGATACAACAAAACAATTTCATTTTTGTTGATTATATTTTTTAGAACTTAAAATTAATTTTTAAAATCTAATTTAGATACTGATACTTTCTGAGCGCCAGAGAAAGATTTTATATGTGGTGAATCTAGAATAAGGGAAGTTTTGGAAGACTAAAACCAAAGACTAAAACGGTGGTATCACTGTAAGCGGTAAACAAATAACGAATTTAAGGTACAAAGATTATACTCTTATACTCGTATACTCAATTATGCACAACTTGGAGGTAGATTGTAGATTGTATGAAAGAGGGAAAGTTAATCACAGCATGCGCAACCTTATAGATCTATTATGTCCCCTTTCTTGAGTTATAACTCATCATACAATCTTAGAGCTTTGACAAAAGCTAGTATCTGAGACGGTTTTACAGAGGTTAGTTCTCTATCTCCGATATCAGTCGTATTAAAGAGACAGTATTCTGTTAAAAACCCTGTGACAATCCAAAGATTTTCTTCCTAATCAGTAAAAATCTTTGATTTTTCTCGGTCGTACTGAAAAATTTTTTTGCATGTCTTAAACCGTTGGAGGATTCCTATTCCACGTTACGGGTGGAGTCTATCAAGTTCTTGAGTTCAGCTTTAAGTTGGTTTCCACTAGAAAAGCAGAAAAGTTCTGGTCCAGTTAGAGGAGTTTTTGCGTCTTTTCTAGCTAGATCTCTAGCTAGAAAGCATCTGTTATAGATGGATGCTTCAAATACCGTACACAGCTCGCATATCCAGGAAAACGAATGGCCTAGAAGAATCAATTGTGGTGGGAAAAGTAAACGGGATAGAGGGAGATATCCAAACCGTTGCGCTGGGTGGACCAAATGAAGGGAATTATAGGTCATAGTCTGGCACGAGGCCAGTACTGCTGCACAAGACAAAACAACACGGAGAGTTACGGAAAATGCGATTGTTTTGTGATGCCATCATACTCTTATAAAGTCATAAGAGGAGGGCTTTCCTTTTTGATTTTGCATGAAATTCTAAACACATTGTACTTATGTTAAAAATGAGATTTGCAAAATTATACAGTTATTAATATATTTTTCAGTACTGATATATTTTGGATATATTTATCATGCTTTAGGAAAGGTTATAGGTACTTAAATTTTTATATTAACTGACTGAATATTTTACAGAGTGCTGATAAAAATATAACAAAAATTACATTCAACATCTAGGACTGTAACAGTTATGTCTTTCAATTTTATTCTCTGTAATTTTGTGGATGTCGTCTCTGACTTGAATCTTCTGGACAGATTTTAGTCCTTGTTTGTTGTCTTTGTTTCACAATAAAAAATTAAAATATTTTAATATAGTATAATACAGTATATATGGTACCTATTATAATTTTATTTATATGACCATGAAATATTAACGGGTTTATAAATTATAATTGCATAAAACATTAAAATTTAAAAATGTGTAATGAATAAATTATCAATTTCATTAATTGCGACATTCTTGATCAAATAACTGAAATTAATTGTAACTGAAACTAATGAGGTAATAATCGTACACTTATAATAAATGTGACTCAATAAATTACATATTACATGCAGGTATATAAATTAATAATTTGAATCATGTTATATTCTAAATATATAACGTTAAACAAACAAGGCATATTATCTTACATGACATATCTGTTATGTATTTTTTTATAAATAATTTCTGGTTGGAAGGATAATTTTATTTTTAAATAATTTATTATTTTTAATTAGAAACTACGAGTAGGCAATCAAGAAAAATAGAACATATCGTTAGCTTATTAGTCCCTTATTAAATGTATTACCTATTAGTTTATTTTTTTTTGCATATTTCTACTACCTATACACTTCTTTACTAATATCCTTTCAAAAGTTGACATATCATATGTCAACTTTTGACATTTTCGCATATGGTTTATTTGAAATTGTAAAATGCGGTTCATAACGACAATTTGACTCTAAATTAAATACCAAGTGTGTTGTACCAAATTATTCGTAAAAAATGCTTTTTCAAAATATGTTAATTAAATATGTTAAACCAAACCAAACCAAACCCTCGTTCTATTTGAAAAAATTGAGATATGATTAAAAATACGATTTGGGCATCTTTTAACAGGCCAGAACAAGACACGAAAAACATTTGTTTATTCCATAATTAAAATTCCATATCTTGATTAAAGAATTAGCGAATTTAACAGAGCCATGACACTCTAGATTGAAATTTAAAACACGATGAATTTTTAAGCGAAAATGTGAAAAGTTTGGTTTGGTTATGGAAATATGGAATTGGTTGGAAATATGATATGTCATTCTATCCAGAGTGTCATTTTCTATCGAATAAAGTTAAAATATACCCAGGGTGCCATTTAAAAATCAAAAGTCGTCATTTCCGGTGAAACAAGAACTGTCCAAAAAAAATTGAATACCAAATCTCGTTTTTAATCTAAAGAATAAAATTTTTATAGGGGTGAGCCACTTTTGAGACGCTCCCGGTATAATATATATTTGATTGATTTATTTTAGTAATACATGATACGATTCTAGTAAAATAATATATATTTTTTTTGCACAAAAATAATAATTAATACTAATTATAATTTATTATAGTGTTAATTTATCTAGGCAAACTAAACTCTATCAATTTTACATATTATTGACTAACAACTGAATATAAATGCAAGGTGACTTCTCCTTATTAGTATGTATTGTCATCGATGACATTGGGTGTGCGTAAATACACGATAGGAATTAGGATGGCATTTTGTTATAAATAGTATTAAACGTATAATAGGACAGAGCGTGGCATGTTTGATGTGTTATAGTAATAAATTAACACGTATTAAATTAGATATCAATTAGTCATTTTTCGGGATCATTTCTTGAAAAAGCCTAGAGATTTTGAAACAAACAGAAGTCTAATAAATAATACAAAGTTATTTTTTCTAAGACGCCACTGCATTAGAATCCAATCAGTGGCTTTTTACTTGTTAAAAAATTTACTTAACCAACAACAATGTTTAACATTTATGGGGGAAGGCCTTTCCAATAGGGTTGTAGCGCAGTTCATCAATCAGAAAGCAAGGGATGGTTTTTCAAAGTAAAATGGATAAAAAATTGAAATTTTTATTGAAAATAATATCAAATTATTAAGTAATCAGTCATAAGAAAATTAGCATGAACACCTGAAGTAAAGAAAAAAGTATGGATAACTTAAATTTCACATCAAATAACATAAACCGACTTAACTGAACTTGAAACAAAAGCCCTAAAATATTGAATAGTTATTTTGTAAGTTGAAGATCTAATGAAGTATTTTTCCACTTATCAATCCACAACAAAAAATATAAATTGTTTTTTATATTTCCCCCATTTCATTTGTCAAGAACTTTTTGTCTTTCACTGTATATTGTTCAAACTAACAGCAACTTTAAATTTTCTAGGCTCTACACCAAGGCCTGTCACCCCGTTACCAACTGTTTATTAAAAATGCAAATATATATTTAAACATAACATAATAAATATTATAGGAACTTTAAAAAAGAAAGGAAGCAAAAACAATAAAAAAAATAGCAGCATTACTTATACTTATTTAGAAGAGTTTGATTTCGACCGCTAGAAAGTATCAAAGGACTTTCTCATGTAAATTTTTTTTTTTTTAATTATTGTTACCTAGGCCCGGTTTTGTGATGGCCAAAAAGATCTGAACCGTACTAAAATATGTTCGTTCAGTGATTGTGGAGTTCGTCAATTAGCAAGCAAGGGATGGTTCTCAAAAGTAAAACCGATAAAAAATTATGTTTCAAATTAAAAAATATTAAATTATTAAGTAATGGAAAAGTAAACATGAACACAAATAATGCACACAAGCGAAAAAAACGAAAACACATAGTGAGCTTACAGATTACATCAAACAACATCAACCAACCTCGAAACCAACGAACTAAATTGAAAAAATTAACATTTTCAATTAAAGATGCAAATGCTTATAAAAACATAAACAATATAACTAATACATTTCAATTTAACTTAATACATTATACTAAACAATAAAAAATAACATTTAAACTTCAATAATTGCTAATAAATATTCTAGAAACTTCAAATTAACTTTAGAAGTAAGAACAGTAAAACTTATTTAGAAGAGTTTAATTTAGACCCCTAGAAAGTATCAAAAGTCTTTCGCACGTAGCTAAAAATATTTTTTTAATTATTATTACAGAGTTCCGAAAGTACCTAAAGAACCGGGCATTAATAATTTCGAGTCCCGGTTCTTTGATGTTTCAAAAGAACCGGTAATTCCCGGTACTTTCGGTACTTTCGGTACCGGGATTTCCCGTTTTTGAACCTTATTTCCCAGTCATTAAAATTAAAGAAAAAAAACAAAAAAAAAGAAAAACTATTTTTGTCTTTTTGGTAAATTGATATAACATTATAAAACTCTTTCTGTTCTTTTTTCAGTTATTGTATTTTGGTGTCCTAAACATAACGAATGGATACGATACACCACAAAACCCTCAGTACCACATCCAAACCGATGAGGGACCAGAAAGATATTTTAGGTACCAGACATTAAGTGGACAATTCCGAAAAGAAAAACGATTGGAAGATGGGACCGTTATTGGTACTTACGCTTGGATTGATGATGATGGTAGGAACAGCATTTTTCTAAATATTTGCCATTTCAATGAAAATAATTCCCTCTCACCCAGTATCCCTTAGGGCTCACATCTTGTGAGTGTCGATTTTATTTTCTATCGAACTTGATTAAATTCATTTTCTTCCAATCTTCATTTGTTCTCTCTGACTCACAACTCAAAAATGTTGTTTGAAAAAAGTTACCAGTATTTTTTTTCTAACCCTATAGAACTAAAATGTCATAAACTATAGTTGAAGTGTTTTTTAAAATGACTATTTTTGCTAAATAACATAATTCCATAACACATTTTTGTACTATTTTTTGTATTTGTGAAGAATATTAAACAATGAATCTTTTGAATTGCTAAATAGTAATAATTTATTTTATTTAGACTACACTTTAATGTGTTTTAAAGTTTTATATATTGGAAAATAATTTGTAGCTAGTTATTTGACTTTTTAGTATGTTTTTTTTTTAAATTATACGAGGGTACATATTGCTGATATTTTGGTGAAAGCTTGAAACACATTGTGGAATATGTTAGCAAAGTAAGGATCTATAAATTATTTTATCATCTAGGTGCATCTCTTCTTGATAGTTTGTCGATAGTTTGCTTTTTGGTTCATCTCAATAGCATTTTTTTTTTTCGGAAATATTTGCTTTTCAAAAAACACTTTTTCGTAATTTTTACGTTAACGCCATTCTTTAGCTTTTGGTCCTAGTCAACAAACCTATGAAATAGTGTTTATGATTCATATTTATAATCTCACTGTTTTTGAAAAATCGTATTGTTATTGTCTGTTGGGCAGTTACTCAGATAGCTTTAGGTCCAAAAATTTATATCTACCACGACCACGATCAATTAAAGCAGAAAAACAGAATATTTTTGCACTTAAAACCATCTCTACTAGAGTAAACGCCAATAAAATTACATGATTTTCCAATGACAGTAAAATTCAGTGCTAAAATTGTTGTAAATCGTTACTGATTTATTCAAAAGCCAATATCTCCAATAAAAATTAAGCTATTGAGATGAATCAAAAAACAAACTATCAAGAAAAGATGTACCTAGATGATAAAATTATTTGTAAATTCATTGCTTTGCTAACATATTCTACAAGGTGTTTCGAACTTTCACCAAAATATCAACGTTTTGTATTCCCTCATTCATTTTTAATTTATAAAAAGACTAAAAATTCAAATAATTTAGCTACTTTAAAAAATCAGCAAAATCGGCCCACTAGAGCAACATACATATGTTAAACTAAAAAACATCAAAATTTTAAGATGCCCATTTTTTGTAACGGTGCACAGTCGAACGGTGAGTGTAGGATCTAAACTATTTTTTTTGCCTTGAAAATTTTTAACAATTAATCTTGCACTATTAGTACACTTAAACAAAAGCATAGGTATTTTTGTTTAGATTTTTTTTTTCATTACGCTACGTTTTAAAAATAAATTGTAAGAAAATGTTAAATTAATGAAGAAAAAAATATTAACTAATCACTTTTTAGGTATACTACGACAAAGAGACTACATTGCCGATACTGCAGGCTACAGAATCTTGAAGAGCAAGAACCTATACGTAGGAAGAAATCTTCCAGTTGCAGAAGCCATGAAACTAGCCAAGAAATACCCTGCTTCTGCTGGTACCTTAGTCTCTTCAAAAGCAAGTCCCAGTCCCGTACGACCCGTTGTTACAGTAGCATATAACCAGGCTATATCGCAAAGTATTAAAAGTATATTTTTATACACAGTGAGCGTCAAAAAGTTCGAAACAATTTTATTTTACTAATGCTCCCTCCTTGTAACTAATCAAAAAAAAAAATAAATAAAACTTCTCTTTGATATTTTTTGATATATTAATAGCTACCTAATTTTATTTTTTAGTTTTTTCACTTCTTTTTTTTAAATTTGAACTATATTATGGTAGTCTACCAGCATTTTCCACTTCGAAAATCAATCCACCACAAAGAAATAATCTCCCATTCGATTTGCCAAGAACTTTTTTTCGCCCACTGTATATTGGTCAAACTAACTGCAACTTTAAATTTTCTAGGCACCACACCAAGGCCTGTCACCCCATTACCAACTGTTTCAACTACAACAGGTATACCTTGTGCGTCCTGCAATACACCTGGACCAACCACCGTCAGACCTGATGGACTTTATGTATCTTCAACCTTCGGCCCACATGTGGAAATTTCTAATAATGCATTGCCTTCATCGACCATAGCACCATTTATTAGTACTACCGAAAAACCCTACGTTGAAATTACTCCTGGAACTATTTCAAGCACTTTAGCACCATTCGTCAGTACTACCGTTAGCCCTGTAACGGGATTACCTTTGGAATATCTAAAAACAGATGTTCAGGCTGTTAATAATCTCCAGTTTCATGAAACATCTACAATTAGACCAGCACATCAACTACCTTCGGCTGTTCAGTACTCTCCATCACCTTATGATGCCTTACCAACATACACTGAATCAGATCAGAATACTTTGGATGCTAATCCTTACGTAAGCCCAATAAATCAAGGTTATCTGTTCCACAATGGACCAACATATCCTATTGACCGAAATGGACATACTTACAGAGGTACCAAAAGGTATTCTAATGCGAGAATAGGGAATGGGTACGACAAGCAATACCCAGAGTATGATGGTGTCTCTGTAACCAACGACGGATTCAGATATTACATTCCTAGAGCTTACCATGAAGAACAAACAGGTGTGAATAATGAAAAATCTGGTAGTTTTGGATATATCGATCCGTTCGGTATCAGGAGAGTGATCTACTACAATGCTAAACCAGGAGAAGGCTTCCAACATCGAAAAAATAACAGATATGTTGGTTTTGATGCCACGCCATATGATCCAAGACCATATTAAGATCAAAAAAGCATAATTTTGGGCTGTGATTTTATTACTTGTCTCCCACGAAGTTGGAAGATTATCAGACACGCTTGAGACTTGCCAGATATATAGTAATATACAGGAGATTTTTACACAAAGTACATCTGCAAGTTGATTACTCTTAAATCAATATTTACCTTGTACCTTTCATGCATCCCTATAAATTTAAACCATTGTGCTGTAATATCGAAAAATGTAATATTGTAGTAAAAATTAATTTATTAATCGGTAGTACTAATACTAGCACACTATGTTTTTTGTTAACATGTAGCCAATAAGTATTTATTCACCATTTCGGTGCCATAAAATGGATTCCTAGGATTAAAGCGTAATTTATTATAAAAAATTAGCTCTAGTTCAGGAACCCATATGTTACAGATATTTGTCCGTAATTTTAAAAACAGCCATCTAAGTGCCAAACAATTTAAAATGTGATCCCTTTCGAAATTTAAATTAAAATTGAGCTTAAAAATACAATAATAAAATACCAGAACAGACTCAACAAGTATCTGTAACTTGTAAATATTAATGTAGCTTGTATTAAGAAGAAAATTAGAAAAAATTAGAAATGGTCACAAAAACTAATAATTTTGTCTATTAAATCTAAGTCAATATTGAAAATTAACAAATTTAGTGTAATTAGTGACAAAAAAACTAAATTCAGATTTTGGTAACATGAAAATATATTAAAATATTATATACTGTGTTTTATTTAAATAAAAAACAAAATTGGTAACTATTAAAAATATCTAAACTTTGTTGTAAACAGAGTTATATTGGAGAAAAATCAACTGGGAGAAAAAACAAATTTTTAAGATTGATACACAGTGACACCTGATGATTTTCCTCAGAAGAAAATTTTTAGTTAAGAGCAAGTAAAACAGTAAACTGTATATTACCTAACCACTTACTGTCATAAGAATGTTTAATACAGTCTTCAATTCATAGATGGCAGAGGTTACTTAAACGTACCTTAAACGGTACTATTCAAAAGTACCGGTAGTACGGTACGCCTGTTAGTATTTCTGGTTGCCTAACGTACATATTTAATTACTGAATATCTATTTGTAAAAAACATTCGTACTGTATGTTTGCTAAGCTTTAATCTAGTTTTCTAATTAACGTTATTGAAATAACACTTCATATTTTTCACTGTTATGTTGTGGTAACTTTTTTACTCCATTACAAACAAGCCTCATGATATCTACATTATGTCCCCGGATTGTCTTTAAAAGAGGACAAACTATTTTATTATTGATATTTTGAAAAAAATGCATTCTTCATAATAATTTTTGCTTGTTCTCAAAATGGTTAATCCCGTTTATATTTTTCCATAATTTCTAAAGATCTAAAGGCTGTTGATAGACTGTTATTTCTCCAAAAAATCTTATATGGGTATTTCGCCACTGCAAGAAAATCTACAATATAAAATAGTGATTTTTTGTAAACACTTCTGCGTTAATCCCAAACGGAAACAACTTGTCAGAAGTTAGGTTTACCGAGATATACAAATTTGCCTAAGGAACAAAAAAAAAAATGCTTAAGAAAAATAATAATTAATAAAACGTTAATTAAAAAGCACTTTTTTTTGTTTCCCAAAAAGCAATTTTATTGCTTCATTTCTTTAACGGTTTCGAAGTTTTTAATATTAAATATTTACTGAAGCTTATTTATTGATCAGATATTGTGTTGCAATAATAAACAAAATACTATGTTATACAGAGTGTCTAAAAATTTATTTTAAATAATTACTAGCTTTAAACGGTAATATCTTGTTTATTTTATATGGAACACCTTGTATGTTTTACGGGAATCAGATGCACAATTTAATCCACATTTATTTATAATAATGTATTGATTAAAACAATTAAGTATGTAATTAACTAATTTTTGGTTGTGAAATAATGGTGGCATAATAATAAATTAGTAATAATAATAATTTGTATACTCTTTTACAAAGATTTAAATAGTTTTCTTTTTGGAAACAAATGGGCTTGCAATGTTATTATTTTTCTCCCAGTACATTTTCTATATTTATGTTACTTTAAAAAAATCTAAAATATTTCAGAAACAGTAAGGTTTAAGTGTGATAAACGTTAATCAAATTTACCTTTATTTCACTCGTAAAATCTAAAAATAGAATAATATACAGGGTGTTCCATTTAAAAAAATACAACTATAATATTTTTTAATAGTCCTTCAACGAGCTCAAAACTAACAATTTGTAAAAATCTAATCGTTTAGCTACAATACTCCGTGTCGTATGTGGTGAACAACTATAGGGTCTATACAAATGCGGAATTATGTTTTATAATTCTTGAAGACTGACCGAAGAATAAGTGATTCTAAGAGTAAAAAACATTAATAAGCTATCAGATCATTTGAAATGGTCGAAAAATCGGATGCGAGCAAATTTCATCAATCAAAAAATTTTATGTCAAATTATGTCAGTTTATTGGCGTCATTTTTTGTATTTTCTGAAAAGACATGTTCTTCCTCCGAGGGTATACACCCTTCCATGGTTGGAGTTTGGGTCTCCGTGCCCTTCACAGTCGAAGATCTTGTCCCCGGCTGAGGTACCCAAGAGATGGAGGCTGGAGGATCTGCCTCCATTTTCTTCATCTCTTTAATTTGGTCTCTGCTTAGACGTAATACCGGTATTGTCCTGAATCTCTCTCTATATATATATATATATATACGCGTCATCTCTTCGTGGGACATAGGGCTTCTAAGAGATGTTTCCATCTGATCCTATTCTGAGCTGTCTGTTTGATCTCTCCCCATGTTTTCCCGACCTCTTGGGCCTCAGAGGTTACTGTTCTTCTCCGGGTATTCCTTGGTCTTCCCCTGGCACGTCTTCCCTGTGGATTCCATTCAAGTGCCTGTCTAGCGATATCTCTGTGGGGTCTGCGCAAAAAATTTGCCCAATCCAGCCCCACTTTCTTTTCTTAATTTCGATATCTATTCGATTTTGTGATGTTCTTCTCCACAGTTCTTCGTTGTTAATTTGATTGGGCCAGAAAATTCTCAATATTCTTTGAAGACACTTGTTAACAAACACCTGTAGGCGATCCATGAGAGCACGCGTAACCTTCCATGTTTCGCATCCATAAAGCAGAATAGATTTGACATTGCTATTGAAGAGCTGGACTTTAGTTTTTTTGGTATATATAGAGGAGTTCCACACAGGTGTAAGCATGCCAAAAGCTCTTTGTGCCTTCTATAATAGAGGATATATCCCTCTTTCTCTATTGACTCCTTAGATTTGAAGTCAATTCCTATTATGTGGACCTAACCATGCCCCTTTTCCCTCGAGTTGATGCCCCTTTTCCCTCGAAAAGATGCCCCTTTTCCCTCGACTCGATGACCTTACATTGGAGTTTTGAGCCTGGATAAAGCTCAGCAAGTAGCTGGTGTCTTTTCCCTTGCTCCTCGGCAGAAAGACCGTGATGACCGCCCTTTTTGGGATGTTTTTTACTGTTTCTACTGTAACCAGTCCCGGCCATCGCTACTACTTCGTCCAGTATCGGCTATCGCCTGCCTCTTCTAGACTCGTTTGCTAGTCGGTGGTCAGTGCAACCTCTCGGTAATGCTTTGGCAGCACCGTCATTTTCACTTGTCCAGCATTAGCGGCAAAACTCATATCGGCGTAAGCGGCATATCTCTATACAGTTGTTACGGTCTATACAGATGCGTTATCATATCATTCTTGAAGACTGAACGAAGAATCAGTGATTCTGAAAGTAAAAAATATTAATAAGCTATATCAGATCTTTTGAAATGGTCGAAAAATCGGATGCGAGCAAATTTCTCATCCGATGATCTTCGGTTGTTTTGTTTCGGTCCGTTCTCGCGTTCCGCCGCAAATGATACCTCGCGCGCTAAATTACGGTGTCCGTCAGCAAAGGCAATATCGTATGTTGGGAATTAATAAGAGTGTGTCGTAAAAACGGCCCGGCTTTGTTATTAGGGCCTAAACGAGCGCTTATTATCCCGTTCGGAAAGAGCGGCCGGATCGAGAGATAACACGGTAGCGGGACGGGGACTTGGGACGCGGCCGCTCCGCCGACGACGATGACTAATGGCCGATTTTTCGGCGGCGAATTCTTTTTAAATAAAAGATTATTGTTTATGATTATTCGCGTCGATTAAGCATCGAGTATGATAATGAAACGTGGCCAATTACGGGCTTTGATTGAGGGGAGCCGAGGAAATTAAATGCTTCGTTAACCAGATGCGGCGATGTTATTTTATAACATTATTTACAACAGTTCGTATTTGTTTTGCAGAAGCGTATTGTTACGTTGTGAGTATATAATAGACTCACTAGAATAAGTTGAGAGAGGGAGATGAAATAATATACCGCAAAACGGGGTTACTTTGGCAGATTATGACCCTTTTTTTAGGTTTATCCCATTATATCTCAAAAACTAATTAAAAATGTGAAGTTTTTAAAATTGATTCATGCCTTGTGATCCTTTGGGAGTAAGTTACGCAAATATAGCTAACTTTTATCAACTGGGTGTACCAAAAAGAAATTGTTTACAAGGTGCTAAAGTAGACAGCGTTTTGGGGTTACTTTGGCAGCTCGTAAAAATCGCTTTAATTGCTATTCTAGGCGCGTTAATAAGCCTACTTTGTAATACAGTAACTATACTGTGGTGGTTTTTCATCAGGGCATCGTGCATAAATCGAAGGACTTTCTACAGTTTTTGAGCAACGTCTTGCCTTGCAGTGGATGAGAGAAGTGTCGTTTAAAGTTGCTAAACTGATTAGTTTTGGCGCTTATGTTCGTGGGTGCTCCGCACCCACTTTTTTCTTCTCGTGAGTGATAGAGGATTTTTAGATTCCCGAGCACGGACGCAGTCGGCGCCCCTCGCAAGAACAAGGACATCAATTATCAATGGATAATAATTATCAATGAACACTTCAGTAGATTGAAGCTAAGAAACAACAATGAATGCAGATTCGGTGGAAGAAAATGGGGAAACACCAGAACACATAAACTTCGGTACGACTGATATCGGAGATGGAGAACTAACCTCTGTAAATCATACAGCCCTGAGACTATATGATGAGCTATAACTCTTTAACTCGGTCAATTATTTATTCAATTAAAAAACGAAAGTAAAATAACAGCCTGCAAAACGATTTTAAAGATTTACAGCAATTAATAGCAACATAGAAATTCTGGAAAGGTTTCAGACTAAAGCTATTAGATTAGATCGGACCAAATTTTATCACTACCACAAATCATTCGAGGTGAACAAAATGGATCGAGGAATGTGGACAGATATAACATTCCTTCAGGATGGACTAACCTGGTATACAGATGGGTCAAAGACCGCTGAAGGAACAGGAGCTGGAGTATTTGGGGAAAGATCAAGGGCAAGCTTATCCTTTTCCTTGGGTAAACACTCAACCGTATTCCAGACAGAAATCTTCTCCATTCTACAATGTGCAAGAGAAAACAATAGAAGAGATTATTCAGGTAAACTCATCAATATATTATGCTTAGACAGTCAGGCGGCACTTGGGGCGCTTATGAACCCAAAGGTATCGTCGAGACTCGTCTGGGAATGCCTGGGTGAACTGGGACTTCTGGCACGAAGGAACAGAATTAAATTAATCTGGGTGCCGGGCCACAACGGCATCCAAGGCAACGAAAAAGCCGATGAGCTAGCTAGGCAGGGA